GCTTTACACAATTGATGTATGTATGGATTGTGATAAGAATTGTATGAGCCCCTAATAAAATGATTTAAAAAAAAGAAAGTGAAACAAAAGGTTACTCAACATGTAGGTGGAAAATCAGTGCATGCTAGTGCTCACAATTGAGGCGTGTCGTACTTGAAAATCATGAACTTAAAAACAAAGAAAACATTTTCCATGCTATTAAAGGATCCGTTCCACTGAAAGCTACAAAGCTAATAAAAATGTGAGAGGGACCGTCAGATATGGAAATAATTGCTAATGATAAGAAAGGAGGGTCAAACTCAGAACTGAATCCCTCTCAACATGTTGACAATCACTGCTAAGGCAGGACGTTGGTGGGAGATGCCCAAGAAAAAAACAGAACCAGCTATTTTCACCAAGATCATTCTACTTCACCTATAAAAACCAAGAGTCAGAACTCTTGAAGGTCACTAACATATCGCTTATTCTAAAATGGGGAAATCCTGAAGGCTTTTTACTAGGTGTACCTTACAGAAATCCAGATTCCTTATTTAGAAGCCTAAAGCACTTTTCAAAATGTCCTGTTCAAAGCAGTGGCTGAAATTTCTTGCTGAGCCTTTGTTGTGTATACCATTCCAAGTTTAAGGCCTTTGACTTTACATCATGCTGCTCAGTCATCTATCAGGTTGTGGCAAACAGGGTCTTTTTCTGCTCTGATTGCTTTTCTTGTCAGTTCTTTCTCCCATTCCTTCCCACCACTCCGATGTTCATAATTCCAGTAAATAGAGTAAATATAAGAAAGTCTTTAGTGGCTGTGACAATGCTAGCAAAAGGTTCCATTGCATTTATTAAATGCATAAGACTTCCTACTGGATTTTGTGGACTGTAATAACCAGAAAAATAACATATTATAGCCAACAAAAACCTTAAAACGGGCTCTTAGCATGCTTTTTTGTTTGTTTGGTTTTTGTTTTGTTTTTTTGCATGAGCTACTGGCTTAGATTCAAAGTCACAGAGAAATAGCTCATTGGCACTTTTCCCACAGGCCCAGGGACCACTCCTCAGGTTTACAGCAATGAAAACATAAATGACTCTTTTCACTTCGGGACCGCCAGGCTGTAGAGAAGTGATGAATGCTAAGTCAGCTTGCCAGAAACTGATTTATAAACCCGAATGTTGATTCATTAAATGAAATGGGAGATGAATCTTGTAAGATAACTAGCATCAATCATTTGAACAAGGTACTCCCTTGTAATGAATATATCCATTGAAGGGACTAAATTGCGGATCAAAAGGATTCTTGGTTTAGGGAATTAAGGAGAAGAGAAAGGAGTGGTGAGGGACATTCTCTCAAATTCTCATAGTTTAGGCCATTTGACCTCACCCCCTCTAATCAGGGAGTATTGCAGTCTGAAATTCTGGCAGCTAATGCTGGGATGATGTCATCCTCAGGGAGTGATGGCCCTTCATCTGACTTTGGTCTCTTCTTCATTCAAGCCATCCCCTTTTCCTTGGGACACCGATGTCCTGACATTGTTATCAAGATTTAGGTCAGAGTTTATCTTGCATTGATGACACTTATTCTCCTATGGATTTAGGAAACAAACTAGTAAAGAGATTTGGGAAGCACCTTAAACTCATTAGCCAGCCTTTAGATAAAGCGTTTTGGGTAGTGAATTATTTCAACTGATGAATAACCTTGTTGGTTTCAGCTAATGCTAATGCTTATTAGCTCGAATTTTTAAGAGGTGTTAGTTTCCCACGATTCATTTTAGCAACTACTTCCTGAGCTCTTCAAGAACAAGAAAACATTCCAGAAGAAGCAGAATTGAAGTCTGCAGCTCTGTGGAAGTTTGCAGAAAGCTTCAAGCAAAATCACCACCACCAAGAGCAAATAATCATGGCACAGAATTAGGATAGCATATGACACAGGATCCCTGGAGAAATAATGGTCAGCGGTTGGAAAAAACCGTCCTCTCCACTATAGAAAAATGACGCTTTCTACTCCTATAAGGATGTGCAGTTTCAGAAACCCACAGTGGCACTTCTAACCTGTCCTATACAGTGGCTATGAAATAGAATCTACTCAATGCCAGTGAGTTTGTTTCTTTAGTATGCCATAGTGAATTGTGTGTTGGGCTGCTAGCTGCAAGGTCAGCAGTTTGAAACCACCAGCTGCTCTGTGGGTGAAAGATGAGGCTTTGTCTTCCCATAAATATTTAGAGTCTCTAATACTCACAGGGGCATGTCTACTCTGTCCTCTACTGTCACGATGAGTCAGAAATGCCTTGATGGCAGGGAGTGTGGCTTTGCGTTATAAAGAAAATCTGTTTTATAAAAGGAGGCCATTACAACTAAACATCCAATCCCGATGCCTTTCGAGCTGGGCCTTCTAGGGAACATGAGGGTTGGCCAGGAGAGATGCTCTGAGCATCATGGTGAACCTCAACCTGGAGCGTGAAAAGCCTCAGGCGTGTTCAGAGACAAAATGCAATGAACTGTATTTGGAAATCGTAGAAGGACATGCCAAAGTGCTGAGCTGCCAATTAAAAACACGCAAGAAAGGCCTAAAATAAAAAAGTTACATCTCTAATATTAACTAAAACGGGTTACATTAGCTCTTGCATTTCCCCTTGCTTATTTGGATAATCTTTGAACTTCAAGAGTCAGGATAACGAAGAGCATATTAAGAAAATAAGCATAACATTGGGAGTAACTTCATTATAAGCCCTTTCAATTTTTTGTTCTAGTTATCACCAGTCATCAGTTGCTATTCTAAATGTAACCATTTGTTTTTGTTTCTGATGGTGTGTTGTTAGCAAGCGGGAACCTGTGAAATTAATGTACCGGCTCTAATTTCTGAACTTTTGGCATATCCATATTTTTCCATGCACCCAAAGGCATGGGTTATTTACTATTCTATTTTCTGATTTGACTCTATTGTAACACTGTAATTGCTGAGAAAAAAAGAGCTAGCTAGAGAGTTTGAATGACATGATAGGATGCATTTTGGATTCCTTCATTTTGAAGTAATGAAACACCATGAAACCACATTGCATTGTCCTCTGTATGGTGTGCACAGTGGAATGGCCCCTCACGCTCCCTGGCTTCCAGCCTCCTTTTCTCTTGGGGCTCTCTCTCATCTTCCTTCTCAATTTTTGAGGCAGAAAAGGTGACTTTTCGGGCTTCACCTAAATTGCCTCTGAAATGTGTCTCTAGTTAGTGACAGTCACCTTCCATTTACTTAGGAGAAAGGTTGTTCATACACTGTCCCAGGCTCTTTCACTGGCGTAAGTAGCTTACAAGCGTGACAATTATGTGAGGGCATCAAAGACTTTCTGTGGCTTTTCCTTTACGCTAACTTCAAAGAACACATCCCCTTTCTGTACCTCAGCGCCGAGGGCTATGGAGTCCGAGTGACCACGGCAGGGTGACTTTAACCTATGAGACAGAGGCTTCTTAAGATGAAGTTGGGAAGGTGTTGAAAAGGTTAGAGGCACTTTAGCATTAAATGATCCATATTACATATTTTTTCTTGTAACCTGCTAAATTGGCAGAGGTTTGGGCAAAATGCTGTTCATTAGAATTGGCATGGCACCCAAAGACAGGCTTGTGGGCTAGCATGGCTCAGGAGTCAGATTTGTCACATTTGAATTCCAGTTCCCTCTGTTTACTAACTGACTTGACAGTGATTTACTTTTCTACTTTCGGATGGATTTTTCTCACTTATCTAGAGAAAATCTTAATGCATGCCTGCTATAGTAGTCTTTGACTACTAATCAAACGGCTCAAATTTAACCAGTGACCTGAACATAAGGCCAGTGATCTGCTTCAATAATTGTTACAGCCAAGAGAACCTTGGGGACCAGTTCGACTCTCTAAGACATGATTTGGAATGAGCTCTACAGCAAGGTGTTGGGTTTAATATGGTATCCCTAGGTACCACTCCATTGGATCTGACTCATAGCAACTCTGTGTACAAAAAACCCCAACACCGTCCAGTCTTGTACCATCCTCACAATTGTTTTATGTTTGAGCCCATTGTTGCAGCCACTAGGTCACTCTATCCCATTGAAGGTCTATCTCTTCTTTTCCACTGCAACTGCTATTTTACCAAGCAAGATGTTTTGTTTTGTTTTTCCAGAACCTGGTCTCTCCTGATCATGTTCAAAGTGGGTGAAATAAAGTCTCACCATCGCCCCGTTCCAAGGAATATTCTGATTATATTTCTTCCAAGACAGATTTGTTTGCACTTTTGGAAGTCCATAGTACTTTCAAAATTCTTTGCTAGAACCACAAATCAGATATGTTGGTTCTTCCTTGGTCTTCCTTGTTAAATATAGAACTTTCACATACATATGAAGTGATTGAAATTACCATGTGTGTTAGACTGGGTTTACTAGAGAAACAAATCCAGGGACATTCATACATGTATAGGCAGGAGCTTTATTTGGAAGAACAATTGTATATTAAAAACACATCTGGGGGAGGGAGGGGGAAGAATTGGGGAGCTGATATCATGGGTTCAAGTTTGAAAATTATTATGGCGGCATATGTGAAAAAGTGCTTGGTACACTGGATGAATATATGGATTGTGACAAGAGATGTAAGATTCCCCAATAAAAGTGTTTGTTTTTTTTAAAGAAAGAAAATGAAAGCATCCCAGCCCACTTCAGATCAAGTTTTTAAGTCTGGTATTAGCCCATATGTCCAATACTAATCCACAAATTCCTCTTCAGACTCATGCAGTAAATTCAATGATGCTGAATGCATGAAGATCACAGGCCAGTGGGTAGAAAGTCTTGTGGGTTTAATGGCGGTGGAAGCATCTTAGTGCTGGGCATGGGTCTCCACATGGGTCCTCCAACTCTCTAAGTTCCTCAGTAGCAGGAAAGTGAAGCAGAGAGAGGGGTTTCTTGAAGGTCTCAGCAAATTTCCATGTGACTTGTCAAAAGGAAGACAAAGGCAGAGAGAGGAAATTCCCAGAATCCTCAAGAGAAGGCCAGGCCCACAAGAAGGAATCATCAGGCTGTGACCTGATTGACAAACTAGACCTTCACTCTTAATACCCTCAAGTTGACATGAGATTATGTAACTACCACATCATGGTAGTAATTATTCAATTATGTCACGTGTATAAAACATCAGTAAAATGCCTAGCATGAACAAGAAATACATGGTCAGTCCTATTAAAAAGGGGAGAATTTGTTTCTCTATGTTGTTAGGTGTCTTCAAGTGGTTCTAAAGCACAGTGACCCTATCTATGCACCACACATTGAGACGTTATCCTGCACCATCCTCACAGTCAATTCTATATTTGAGCCCATGGTTTTATCTGATTTGTCCTCCCATCTCATTGAAGATTTTCTTCTTTTTGACCGACTCTCTTTTTTTGTCATTTATCTATATTCACTGCCATTGAGTTGATTCCAACTCATAGCAAAAATGCCCTTGTGGGTTTCTAAGACTATCACTCTTTACAGTAGTAGAAATACACCCCTTTTTCCTGCAGTGCGGGCTGGTGGATTAGAACTGCTGACCTTGTGGTTTGCAGCCCAACACATAACACACTGTGTCACAGGACTCCTTTTCTATAGCATCTATTTATTCATTTCAAGCATTTGTATATCTTTTTAAATCTGCCTTTGTCAACTATAGGATATGCATAGCTACTATTGAGACACCATTGGAATATATCCTCTATCCTATACAGTAAAGACACAGAAAGATAGGTGAATTTAGGAAATTGTTATTTAAACTGTAATGGGGGAAAAATAGCAAAAACAAAATTACTAGATCACAAAGACAGTATTCGCACAGGGCTTTGCATATACTACTCCGGGTAGTGAGTTTTTATTAGTAGGAAGAGTGTCCTTTCATTTCTGTGTAGGAGCAGATCCATGAAAGTATTTTGGTATATGAGACCAAACCAAAAAAGCAAACTCATTGCCATTAAGTTGATGCCAACTCATAGAGACCCTATAAGGTAGACCTGCCCCCATGAGTTTCTGAGACTCTTTACACAGCTCCTTTACACAGCTCCTGTGTAAAGGACAGATACTAATTCATTCTTACATCTGGAAGTGTGAGAAGGCTTTAAAGATCGTGGGAGATTCTTGTTATTGTTCAGTTCCACTTTTCCCTGAACTTTTTGAAACCCCATTGTGTACTCCATTTTTACTAAGGTCACACTAACTAATTGGTAATTTTCAGGTATGATAGGGATATTTAAGGTCTTTATGAGGAGTCTTGGTGGTATTGTAGGTATAGTTGGGCTGACAACTGGAAGACGAATAGTTTGAAATCACTAGCTACAGCTCAGGAGAAAGAGTTACAACCTCCATTAATTCATTTTCTTAGGTACCTTATCTGTGGGTAGGGTTTTTTGTAATCCTAGTCAATCATTTGTGGGTCTTCATGGGGGCTTATTCTCCATTGGGGTGTCTTCAATGGATTTTCGACTTTCACTGTCATCATAACCTGCTGCAAACTGAGTGCTCAGAATTTAAGCTCTAATCCTTTTCCGTCCTCGGATCTTGGCTTTTGTTATTTACAATCCTTGGCTCACCCAATCCTTGGTTCTCCCGTGTGGGTGCAGCTATCACTTCACAAGATGGATGCTTGTTTTAAGACGAGCTTTTTAAGACCTCAGATGCTATTCTTTCCGACAGCAAGGCCTCATCTGATTTTTTCACCACACTTTGCTATAGCACTCCTATCTTCATTGATCTATTCGGGGGGAGGGGGGGTAAGTATTGAGCAGGGTTGCATTATAAGTGTGAGGGGGTACCCCCCAAAATCAGAATTTTTTTTTCAAAACTACGTATTTAATTAAAAAATAAAAAATAAAACAACCTTGTCACCTTCAAAGTACTCTCCATCACACTTAATACATTTGTCAAATCTGTAATTCCATTCCTGGAAACATTTTTCAAACTCATGTGTTTAAATGGTTGACAGCATCGTCCTTGTTTTTTTATTTTCTTCACCTCTTCTACATCATCAATTCACTGTCCTTTCATATTCCTCTTCATTCTCAGAAACAAAAAATACATCTCACAGAGACAGGTCAGGAGAGTAAGGTTCATGGGGCAAGAGCACCATGCTGTTTTTTGCCACAAACTGGCTCACGGAGATGGCTGCGTGAACCATCTCCTGTCTGCCAAATCAGGCCTTTGTTTGGTTGCACTTTGTTACACTCTTTTCAGAACCTCTGAGTAGAAAGCTTGATGAAAGTCTGACCTGGTGGAATGAACTCCAGATGCACTGAGAGTCAACATTTTCATTCGTTTGGAACTTGACGGACATCCAGAATGAGGTTTGTCATCAATTGACATTTCATCGTTTTTTGAAATGGGGAAACCACTCATACACTTGAGTTTTCCCATAGTGCTGCCCTTGCAATCTGTGTTCCAAATCACAACAGTTTCTGCGGCATCTTTCCTGAGCAGAAACAAAATGTCAGTCTTACGCGGTTCTCTTAAATAGGCCATCACAAAAAATGAGGTTCAAGCCAAACTGCTTCTGCAGAAAAATTCTGTTACCAGAAAGAACCT